AAAAAAAAAAAAAAAAAAAAAAAAGACCATGGAAGAGTGCCCAGACACCCCTGGGGATGGTATGATGCATCTGGAAGGAAGCCATTGGGGTAGGGACTGTCCCTGTATGAGAAGTTGAGAGAAAGAGAAAAAACAAGGACCAAAATGTTTGCCTCATTTAATTAAATATCAGCAGGCCTGTCTATCCATTTTACAGTAAACCAGACAGGGAATGAGAGCCCTGGAGGGGACCCAGAGCTACTGGCTTCGCTCTCCATTTTAACGGCTTAAGTTGTTGAAGCTTAAGTTGTGACAACCAAGCAGATATTATTGCCCATTGCATGGTGGTCAGAATTAGGCCTGGGAATTCTGTAGATGGACAAATTCAGAGGAGCTCAAAGTCACTGCTACAATTTATGATAAATATAGTTGGGATCAAACTGGCAAACTGTGCACATGCCTGCACTCCCTCTGACCTAAAAATACCACTGATTACAAAAAACCTGAAAAATTAATCCACTATGGTAAGGGAGCAGAAGAAACAAGGCCAAAGAAGACTTCCTGAAAGAGGCATCAGACCTTAAGTTCATAGCTTTATTACATATTTGGAAACAAAGCTAGGAGCAGAGTGTGGCCCTGGATGCACCCATGCTGTTCAGTCTCTCACCCTGTGTTAATTAGCCCGATTGGGAACCCGGCTTGGTGTAATATGTGCATTCTTAGGTGCCACACTATTGCAGATCCCTCAGAGACCTGACATTGCCAAAACCTGGACAATAAACATTGGGGCTGCAGAGCTCACTAAATTAAATCCTTTTAAATTAGATTTTGCATCGTCCTATCGACATCCTGGGATGCTCAGGTGTTCCTCGGAGTAAAGTCCAGGGTATGGTGCCACCCATTTGTGGTAAGAAAACAAAACAAAAAAATGGGATAGCGCACTATGATCTCTCTGCATCACTGACTACAGGCACAACTGCCCGTCTAGAACAGGCACAGCGCATAAAGGTTTCGTGACCCGGCGGGGAAGCCCTTAGCGAGCGCCCGGCGCCTTCGCCTCCCCGCCCTTGGGCCTCCCGGCCGGGTCCACGCCTCTCCGTGCTCCCCCAGCTCCCGCCCTATCCACCCTCCGAACCCCCCAGCGCCCGCCCCACTCCCGCTGATTGACAGGCGGGACAGCGATTCCAGGAGCCCGGCTTTTGCTCCGCAACCCCAGCAGGAACCATCCTACTGTAGCCAATGGGAGCCAAGAGGCGGGGCCTGTGGCGGGCCTGCGGTGCTGGTCAGGTGCTGAGGTGGCTTAAAGGTGTGGGGCTGCAGGTTCGGGGGTGGGGTGCCCCTTGCTGCCGCCGCCTCCCCGCTATTGCCCCCGGTCTGCGGGAGGGAGCCCCCTCCAGGCCCTCCCTCCCATTGCCCCAAGCCGATGTGGACTGAGCGGATCGCCGCGAGGGTAAGAGTCCGGAAGTGTGGGAGGCTGGCCTGCCGGGGACCCACCCGCCTCCTGCGGGCTCCCCAAACTACCCTCCCAACCCATTTCCACTGCACACATACCCGGAGCACGTTAGGGCATCTGCCAGCCTTGGTGGGCGGGAGGTTTGCGAATTGGAAACGTACCCCTACCTCGAGATCCTTCCAGGAGCTAGGATGGAATCCGTGTGAAAAAGATGGGGCGATGCATCACCCTCCTCTTGATGTATATTCGCTCTACACACACCTACTCCTCCTTCAGTGTCCTTTCTCTCGTTTCTTGGCGCCCCGTCCCTCCAGATTTCCAAGGCTGTCTGTGGGGGAAGGGTTGGAGGGGAGGAGGAACTGGAATGCAGCTCAGTGAAATCTGGGCCCAGAACTAGGGATTCCACTTTGCAGTGCAGCATTTTTTGCGTGGAGAAGAAACCAGATCTCCTTCCATCCCTACCCCAACTTCCCAGTTTGTTGGCTTTATGTCATCGATGTGATGATGTTGTCTTACCAAACATTCCTAAGCTTGAGGCAACACTTAGCCTTTGTTTATTTTCATTTGTCCCAGGAAAGCAGTTCTTTCCTGCTTACCACAGTTGCTGAATTAATTTACTAAAATAGAGGAAAATCATATGTTTCATGTAGTTGATTCTTTTTTAGCCTTAAATTGTATTTGGTTCATAGGATCCTTGTGTTAGGAAGGTGAAGGAGAGAAAAGAGGAAGGGCTCACCGTTCTTAGCCAGAAATGTTAATAAGTATATTTGCAGTTCCTTATGGGAACTGATTATTCACGTTCCTTCCAGGTTTGGAAAGTTTATTGCTGTTTGAGAAATAGTTTTTAAATTTAATTTTTGAACCATCGTCTGGAGACCAATACCTAAAACAATTTCAGTTTAAGCAACAATTTCAGTTGTAGGTCTGCTGAAATCAATTAAAAAAAACAAAACAGAATTCTTGGCCCCTGATAGCAAAGCAAGCACGCCAAGCAGTTTTTATTTACCTGCACTTACAGCAAGGCAAAACAGGGTCTAATTTTGAGGTTTAAGTATGTCTTCAGCATATTCAAATTAGGAAGATGTCAAAAGCTGAATTCGATTGCTTCTTTTAATATCAATTTATTTATTTATCTATCTATTTATTTATTTATTTTGGGGGCCACGCTGAGTCTTTGTTGCTGTGCATGGGCTTTCTGGAGTTGTGGCGAGCGAGGGCTACTCTTAGTTGCTGTGCGCGGGCTTCTCATTGCAGTGGCTTCTCTTGTTGCGGAGCACGGGCTGTAGGCGTGTGGGCTTCAGTAGTTGTGGCTCACGGGCTCTAGAGGCTCAGTAGTTGTGGTGCACGGGCTTAGCTGCTCTGTGGCATGTGGGATCTTCCCGGACCAGGGATCGAACCCGTGTCCCCTGCATTGGCAGGCGGATTCTTAACCACTGCGTCACCAGGGAAGTCCCTCAAGAGATTTCTTGACACAAAATACGGTTAGATCCAGGTTTCGGTGGGCTTATAAATACCTTCATGCAAGAATGGACAGCAGAGGGAGAGAACAAGAGATCCTTACTGGATTTGCAAACCCAATGGGAACTGACCAAATTTACATATGTATTGTTTTTTCATATTATCTTTTATTAGCTTTCTTGAAGAGAATAAAACCTTTTTAGAAATATAGGCAGATTACCAATGACAGTAACAACAACCTTGATCCCAAGAGATTATTTAATCCTGGGAAGTGCCTTTTCTACACACATCACTGATAAGATTAAATGTTGATGAATTTTAAGATTAGGAAGGTCAACATCAAATTTTAGAATTATGTTTCAGTTTATACTTAGTTCAGAATCTAATTGTTTTGTTTAAAGAAGGCTATGCTTTGATTGTTAATACATGAATGCAAATTACATTTCACAAATATATTTGAATGTCACAAATTTTGTCACTTCAGGATACCAAGTTAATCTATTTTCTCCTCTCTCTCATGACATCTCTCGCATCTCTTACCATGATGGACCAGACATAAGGCCTTGCCTTCGAAAAACAGAGGTGTACACATGTACTTTTAAAAAGTATTATTTTTAAATTTGCTAGTGCAAATTTCCTTGTTGTTAGCTTCCTGTAGCCCATCTAACCATAATGATAAATATGTCCACAGGTATTTGACTATATAAATGTTTCTGACTAGGAGTCAGAAGTCTGAGTCAACCTGAAAATGTTTCTGAAAAGTTGTATGTAAATTATATCATCTTTTAAAATGATATTTGAGGAGCTTATTTAAATAATTTCTTTGAGGAATGTTTCAATAAATTCTTGGAAACTAAAACAGTTTCTAAAATGCAAATATAATTTTTAGCTTTATTTATACAGGGAGTCCCAGGTCTCTTGTTTTAAGATGCAGTTCTGCAGCATAATCCTTCCAGGCTGTGATTTACGATGTAACTGGGATTACTAAGCACCATCCCTCTCCATTTTGGGTGAAGTGTAGAGAACAAAATTATTGCCATTAACTTCTCTATGTTTCTTAAACAGATTATCTTTGACACTGAACTGATCAAGTACTTTGAAAATGGCTTCAAAACTTCTCTGGGTGTCCTTCATACTTGCTGCATTGACACTTTCAATTACATTTTCTCTCCAACCAGACCAGCCAAAGGTTCTACTAGTTTCATTTGATGGATTCCGTTGGGATTACTTATACAGAGTTCCAACACCCCATTTTCATCATGTTAAAGAATACGGTGTCCACGTGAAGCAAGTTACTAATATTTTTATTACGAAGACCTACCCTAACCATTATACTTTGGTAACTGGCCTCTTTGCCGAGAATCATGGCATTGTGGCAAATGACATGTTTGATCCTGTTCTGAACAAATCTTTCTCCCTGGATAATATGAACATTTATGATTCTGAGTTTTGGGAAGAAGCGACGCCAATATGGATCACAAATCAGAGGGCAGGACATACGAGTGGTGCAGCCATGTGGCCCGGAACAGACGTCAAAATACATAAAAGCTTTCCTACTTACTATATGCCTTACAATGAGTCCGTTTCATTTGAAGAGAGAGTTGCCAAAATTATTGAATGGTTTACATCGAAAGAGCCCATCAATCTCGGTCTTCTCTATTGGGAAGAACCTGATGACATGGGCCACCATTTGGGACCAGACAGCCCACTCATGGGGCCTGTCATTTCAGATATTGACCAGAGGTTAGGGTATCTCATACGAATGCTGAAAAAGGCAAAGTTGTGGAACATTCTGAACCTAATCATCACAAGTGATCACGGAATGACACAGTGTTCTGAGGAAAGGATCATAGAGCTTGACCAGTATCTGGATAAAGACCACTATACCCTGATTGACCAGTCGCCGGTGGCAGCCGTCTTGCCCAAAGAAGGTAAGTCTAAACTGACTGGTGGTCTGGGGCCTGGTCTGCGTGTGCCCAGTGCGACTGAGTGGGGGATTTTTGTTTCTGTGTCTTTCAAGTGTGCTTGCCTTTGTCATGGTAATATTCTGGGATTTAATCCTTAGTCTCTGAAAAGACAAACTCTCTTTTCTCAGAGTCTGATTTTTCACTTTTTCCTAGAATATTAAAACTGATACTCTGTCTATGTATTTATGGTAGTTGCATTTAACCATTTTGGAGTCATTGGATATGGTGAAAGCTACAGCCTCCATTCTCAGAGAAATTGAGATGGGAAGATATATACAAAATGTGCCTGCAGTTAACAGTGATTTTATGGAAGCCCTAAAGCCTTCAATGGATCCTGAGTTAGGACCTGCTTAATAGGGAAGCAGCGGGGTATAGGAAGGAGAGAGTTTTGGTCGTCCTGAGATTTAGTTTTCTTATCTGTGAACAGGGGAGGTAGTAACAGTACCTCAAACTTTTTACAAACCTCTCCTGGAAGCCTCATAGCAACTCTGTCTCTCGTTATTTCTGTTTTAAAGATAGGTGAACAAGCTTAAAAGGTTTAACATCCCCAGGTCAAAAAGTAAGTGCAGAGCAAGACTCAGACCTGCAACACCTGACGTTTGTTTTATCACCTCCTGGGGTTAGTCTAGGTATCAAATGAGAAAACAGGTCTTGAAAAGCTGAAGAGCTCGCAAATGAGAGTTAGATCCCTCGCAGGGGAATTAAGAGGATCATAGGAAACAGTGAATGTTAAAATAGGCACGGTGCAGCTGCACACAAACATTTGTACCAATTCAATATAAAATAGCAATCTTCTGTGGTTAAGAAAATTGCATTAACCCTTCAGTTCCCCTGATCAAGTTGGTATGGTGTTCCCTTGTTGGCAGGGAGGAAGCCCCAACAAATGGATTTGAAAAACAGGAAAAGGATGAAAGATATTGCCCAGGTTTACTGCATTTGAAGTTACAGGGAGTACTTGTGCAACACCTCCGGGGTTTCAAAGAACGTTTGGCCAACCCTCACCCTCCACTTACCGAATTTTCTTGTCTTGAGATTCTCTATTTCTGTACTCAGAACTACCAGAACTTAGCTCCTTGGTTTTGTTTGGATGTTGTAGTGCCCTTGACATTTTACTTTGTGCCACCACTTAGTACCTGTGTGTGTGTGTGTATTTAATCTTTAGGGATTAGAGATTTCTGGTTCTATAAAATGTCTTCTCTTAAGGTGAATTTACTTTAAGAGAAGATTATTTCTCAGTTCCCCCCACAAGATTATTTCCTCAAAGGGGATGGGAGTTCTAAAGTGTCTGGTGAGGCTTCATTACCTTGAACTTGCTGGCTGTCTACGTCAGTAGGATGTCTGCATTGATTGACCTGTGTTGCCATGGTTGTTTCTTTGGCTGTAGCAGTGAGTGTCTTGTTCTGACCGCCTCTCCTCATCCTTCTCTTTTAGGCAGATTTGATGAAGTCTATGAAGCACTAGCTCATGCTCATCCTAATCTGACTGTTTACAAAAAAGAAGAGATTCCAGACAGATGGCATTACAAATACAACAGTCGAATTCAGCCAATTCTCGCAGTGGCTGACGAAGGGTGGTATATTTTACGGAATAAGTCAGATGACTTTCTGTGTGAGTATGTTATAGTATTTCTCCCCATTCTGCATCGTTGTCTGCTAAAGTGGAGGCTAAGTGGGAGTTGTTTCTGCCGTATTCAACAGTCTGTTTATCGATTGAATAACTAGCTAGTGTCACACATTAATAGCTAAATAAAGATCCCAATAAAGATTTATTGGGGCTTTAAAATGAGGTAACCTCCTAAAAGTGGAACATTTACTTCTCTTGAAGCCTTCAGACCAAAGATAAGCACAGTGCCCTGTACTGCTTATTATAACCGTTATGTTCCGGAGGAAAACCTAACTGAATTTTATAAATTGAATCATTTTCTGCATCTGTTTTATACTCTGATTTCAAAAGAGTTTAATCTCTATTTTTCTTTTCAGTTGCTAGCTTTCTAGTTTCTTTTGCGCTTCTGGCTCTACCAAATATAGGCCAGCTTTGCTTTACACCTTGGAAACGTTTCTAAAAAGAAGTGCATATTGGCATGGATAAAAATATATCAAGATATATTTTCCTAATGAATATCTAGTGGTATAATTTTGGAGATATTTCCATTGAATAAATTTAGAATATAATATAAATCCTATTTAAAATTAAAGCATGCAAAATAAGAGCTTCCTGCTATCCTTTTTTTAAAAAATTTATTTTTGGCCACACCATGCAGCTTATGGGATCTTAGCTCCCCACCCAGGGATCGAAACCATGCCCCCTGCACTGGAAGCGCAGAGTCTTAACCACTGGACCACCATGGAGGCCCCCCTGCTATCATTTTTTTTTTTTTTTTTTTTTGCGGTATGCGGGCCTCTCACTGTTGTGGCCTCTCCCGTTGCGGAGCACAGGCTCCGGACGCGCGCAGGCTCAGAGGCCATGGCTCACGGGCCCAGCCGCTCCGCGGCATGTGGGATCTTCCCGGACCGGCGCACGAACCCGTGTCCCCTGCATCGGCAGGCGGACTCTCAACCACTGCGCCACCAGGGAAGCCCCCCCTGCTATCCTTAAGTGTAGTTTTCCCTTCTCATATAGCTTTTAACAAGTTAGTCAAATGGAAAAGTCATCCACAGGATTTTTATTTTGCCTGTTATTTGCATATTTGCTCTCAAACTCCCCGCCCTTACCCTGCTCTGCTTTGTATCAGCAGTGACAGATCCCTACAGACTAAATTTCCCAGGCTCCTTTGCGAACTGGTTTCTGGTTCAGTTTGGTCAGTAGAGGACCTTTGCAGGAGTGTGGAAGGCTGGAGTTTGGGAGAAAGCCAGGGTATTTTTCCCCCACGCTCTCTGCCCCAGGCTGTGTCTCTACCAGTGACTTCATGTCCTCTGTGATCCCAGCTCTGGACGACTTCCTGCTCTATGGCCTCAGTGCCTACTGGGTAGTCCTGGCTTTGGGGTTCTGGGGACACTACCTCTTCCTTCTGTCCCTCCAGCATGCGGGCCATGGGAGGTTCCCACTGTTCTACTCACTGGGTAACCTTGCCATCCCATGTTTGCTTCTGAGCTTCAGCACTTTTGTAACTAGCCCCCATCTGAAATTCTCTCTCTTGGATGGGTTCCACTTTCCCAGCTGATGGAGATATTCACAGGCACTACCAATCAATTCACTGGGAGTTGTTTCCATTCTGTTACTTGAATGTTGAAGCAAGCACATGGTGTCAACACTATCTAGAAATGTTCTTTTAGGCACTGGTCCTTGACACATATAAAAGATGAACAAGATGTCCCTTTAGCTAGAATTGGGTTCCCATCATGTTTATTGATAAAGAGAAGAGCAGTTGCCTGGCCATGGCATTTGTAGAGCATATGTAAGGCATATTGGCAGATGCATACAGGTACATGGGTTCTGGTCCTAAAAACAGGTTTTACATATAGATAATAATCTGTAAAACAATATTTGGTCAGGCCAGGAGAGCTGTTTTAAGAAGGCTTTTACAAGTAATTTCCTTGGCCAGGAGAATAGTTGCCACCTTTATATGTTCAGGTTTTCATGTACAGTGCAGGTAGCTCTTATGTTAGAGGGGTTGCTCAAAAAAGAACTGCTATCTCTGAGGAGATTGAATTACAATTTACAATTAACATAAATGTAAGTGGCTCTCTTGAAATTTTGGTTTGGTGAGCTACGCATACTAGATGAGTCACACCTATTTTGAGTAGAAAACCTTAATAGTGTTTCTATTTCTGTTACCTGATGTTCAACATAATTATTTATTCAACAAATAATTAAGTACTGGCTACTACAATCCTTCTCAGCCTGAGTTCTATAAGAGAATTCAGCCCTAATGTCCCAAAGCAGTGTTTCTCAAAGTGTGTTCCCTGGACCAGCAGCATCCAAATCACCTGGGAACTTGTTAGAAATGCAGATTCTCGGGCCCAACCAGCTCTACTGAACTAGAAACTGAGAGGGTAGAGCCCAGCAATCTGTGTTTTTACCTGCACCCATCCCCCTACCCCGGGGTCTCAAGTTTGAGATTCATGTTTGAGAACCCCTGCCCTTAGGCATCCATTATTAATAATAGACAGTATTTAAATGCTGTCTACTGGATCAAGCGTTTATCGTAGGGGCTACTGTTATGAAACAAAGTTCCTCTTCATGGGAAAAGTTTTCTGAGTCATAATGAGTTCACTTCAAATCTGATTTTCTAGTAAGAAGTGTGGTATGATTTATCTTTGCCTCCATGATTAGAGTCTAGATCTAACTTTTCATAGACATGAGCACAGCAGTCATCCAATCAATTACAAATTATATAATGGCACATTTCCCAAGGTTATTATCGATTAATTAACTAGAATAGCACAGTCTCGTCAGATGATTCCTAGTGATTCCTAAATCCAGCGTTATTTTCACTTGAATAATAAACTCAAAAGAATCATGGCACTAAGAATGACTTCTTTAGATGGGTTTTGCCAGGCAGATTTGGAATTACTTTGAGGAGATGATTCTCGGAGGAATTAATTTAGGATTTTCGTTTTTGCAATGCTGTGTTCTCATTGCATATTTCCCGGTAGCAAACACAAGCAGTAGAGGCTAATTTTTTTTTTTTTTTTTTTTTTTGTGGTACGCGGGCCTCTCACTGTTGTGGCCTCTCCCGTTGCGGAGCACAGGCTCCGGACCCGCAGGCTCAGCGGCCATGGCTCACAGGCCCAGCCGCTCCGCGGCATGTGCGATCTTCCCGGACCGGGGCACGAACCCGCGTCCCCTGCATCGGCAGGCGACCTCCCAACCACTGCGCCACCAGGGAAGCCCAGTAGGGGCTAATTTGCTAGTCCTTCTCACCACCTTTAAAAATAAAGCCTTTCAGTTTTCTTTGGTTGCCGTCTCATCAGCAGTAGCACCCTGATATTATGCTAGACGTACATGCCTTTAAAAGGCAGCTTTTGGCAGAAATAGAGACACAGATGTAGAGAACAAACGTATGGACACCAAGGGGGGAAAAGTGGTGGGCTGGGGGGGGCGGCAGTGGGATGAATTGGGAGATTGGGATTGACATATATACACTAATATGTATACAATGGGTACCTAATAAGAACCTGCTGTATAAAAAACTAAAATAAAATTCAAAAAAATAATAAAAATAAAAGGCAGCTTTTATTATGCAGGAGTTTTCATCCTTCAATTTTGTATCATCTTCTGACTTGATAAGTCAGGAGACTCCTCAAGTTTTTACTTCTTTGTAGCCACACGAAAGCACACAATGCTAAGTTGGATCTTGATCTGAACCACCAAAGGCAAGATTTTACCCACAAGTCCTGACTTTTTTGATAGCAGATTGTAACTGTAACTAGAAGTTTGATTTTTGTGGCGTCTTTTGTTTTCCTTTCTTATTTTCCTCCTTTTATTGGTAATTATGAATTTATTGGCTTCATGACTAAGAGCACCTTTATCCCTTTATCTTTAGAACAAGCTGGAACATAGTAGGTACCTCACAAGTATGTGTTGAATATTAGTTTACCTGCCACGAAAAACATATCACTTTCATGTTCCCCTGACTTGCCTCAGCTTTGCGCTTTCCCTTCTTCCTGTGCTGCTGAAGGTAGTGTTGCCTGGAGAGAAAGATTTGTGATCATTTGACTTCTCATTTCCTGGAGTGAATTGTGGTGTTGACAACAGCAGAGATTATTTGTAAAAGATCCTTTTATTTAAAAGTCAAATTAGAAGGGCTTCCCTGGTGGCGCGTCTGGAGCCTGTGCTCCGCAACGGGAGAGGCCACAGCAGAGCCCCGCGTACCGAAAAAAAAAAAAAAAAAAAAAAAAAGTCAAATTAGATAAAATTTGCATTTAAGTTCACAATTTGATGATACAGTTATTTCCATTTTAATACCATATGGTTGGCTAACTTGTTCATGCATTTTATCTTCACAGTAGGCAACCATGGTTATGATAATGCATTAGCAGAAATGCATCCCATGTTTTTAGCCCACGGTCCTGCCTTCCGAAAGAATTTCACAAAAGAGGCCATGAACTCAACAGATCTGTACCCCCTGCTCTGCCACCTCCTCAATATCACTGCGGTGCCACACAACGGATCACTCAGGAATGTCCAGGATCTGCTCAGCTCACCAACTCCAAGAGCAAGTCCTTATACACAGAGTCCTCCTCTCCCCCATGGTAGTGTCAAACCAAGAGAAAATGAACAAGAGGAGCCATATGCTTATTTCATAGGGGTCTCTCTCGGTAGCATTATAGTTATTGTGTTTGTAATAATTTTCATTAAACATTTAATTCGCAGTCAAATACCTGCCTTACCAGATTTTCAGGTTGAAATATCTCAACCATTATTACAAGCCTAATGCTCCTTTGATGTGGAGATTGCATAGTTATGTCAGTGTTTAAAGGTTTCAGATTCTAGGAAACCAGCTTCAAACATTTGCACAGACCATTAAGCAGTTACGTACATATGCAGAGGCAGTCATACACACACACACACACACACACACACACACTCATGCACATGGACCAAAATACACATACCTGCAAAGGATGAAAGATGGGGAAGTATGTTTCCATTGTCCTCTCTGGCTTCTGGTAGGTAAGATCCTGCTTTATTTGGACTTGGCACATACAATGTATACATTTAACAACTTTGCAGTACCTTACATATTGCACTTTAAATTACTCTCCTAATGGGTACACTTCTGTGAAATGCACTTTATTGACAATTACGTCTGATAACTCGGTTGAAAAAGACAACTTTTGCACCCATGTCCCAGAATACCCGTTATTCCTTGTTCAAACGGAATGAAATTTCTAATAATTTCTGAATACTGTAGAAATCTATCTATCTTCTTAAATTGGGAGAGCATGAAGAAAGTGAAAACTGTTGAAAATGAAATATGATGACTTTTGAACACTGAATTTTGGAGAGTTGCATTCCCAACAGCAGGGTGCATCTTTGGGCGCTCCTTGTCATATTTCTTTGCAATGGACATGGGTTTTCATTTTATTTTTCCCCCAAAAAAGAGATCCAAATACTGACGGATTCATTCCAGGTATGTTGTTTCCATCGTGAAATTCATTATTGCTGTTTCCTGATTAGTCATTTTACTCTGATTTTAATAGTAAGACACCAGGAGACCTCTACTCTGTAGGCTTGAAAAAAAAAAATAAGACACCTTGAATATACATTTCTTTCCTCTCGAGTCTAGCACTGGTCTGACTAGAAGGCATCAGGCACCATCTCAGCAATATTTTCTCTTGCTCTGTAATTATTTGCTTCCTTGAAAACGAAATCACTATTAATCGCATTACAAAATCAGATTAGATAAAACAATGTTTTCTTTCTGGTAATCTGTAGTGACAGAGCACAAGCATCTTTTAGATTTCAGCATGTGAAGGTCCAGAATTGCAAGAGAGCACAAACTACATTAGGGAAAATGTAGGCCACGCAATCCTTGAAAAGAACTGTGTGGAGCTTGGGGGAAAAAGAATTAGACAGAAACTTGGGGAAAACAATTAGGCAGGGCCATTGTGGTTTGCAGTGTACCCAGGACAATGCTAAAGGGAAATAGTGAAACTCCTAGAGGTAACAGGTAATTGAAACAAGAGGAGCTAAGATTATAGCCTTGTTTCCTGAAATATCTGAATATCCACTAACCAGATGCTCAGTGGACTCAAAGATGAATCCAGGTTCAGAAATAGACTTTACCTCCTAGGTAGGTTTTTTCACCTGCCTGTTCATCTCAGCTTCCCATTCCCTTCCATGGAAAGATATGCCTTAGATCTCTTAAGTAGGCTGGTATAGGGAGAGGGTAGTGTTACCTGTGGTTTCTTAGGGGAAAGAGAAAGCCCTGGAAAGAATAGCTTTCCTTGAAGAAAATAGAAACCAGTTTATAGACACGTGGCCCATAGAAAATACTGTGATTTTGTGTATATTCATGTACCAACTCGCTAAAAATAGGTAAAGTGGTAAATGTATTCCAGAAAGGATAAACTAGATGTAAAGAACAAAAGTGGCATAGTGAAAAATATAATTGAAGTGCTTCCTAAAATCAGGTGAATGAATTATTTTTAAATGATGATACCAGTAAACAGTGTTAGCACTTAATTCTCATGTCATCAATACAACCTCTAAATGGGATAGAATGGAATCGCTGGAAATGTACTATAGATTAAAAAGCTGAGAAGTGGGATGGTAGATAGCAAACTCCTCAAGAGGTCTGAACTCTGGGTTAGACATTTTACAACATGGGACCATTTGTGTTGGCTTGCTTTGTAGCGATGAACTTATCTGCGTTATTGAGATGCCAATCTAATGACTGAAAGATGAAACTGGTCTATTTAAAAGCATTATTATTCAAGTGCTATCTGTGTATTTTAACTGATTGTTGCATTAAATTCATTTTAGAGGGTGCTATTACCTTAGTAGTAAGAAGAGAGTAGATTCTGTAACACTGATGAAATCATTAAAATTCTGATATGAAGATTTGATTATTGAAAGGTTTCCTTTATCTACAGATACTTATTTTCCTGTAAAATATTAGCAGGAGAGTTTACCTGAAGGAAAATAAAATTTTAAACTTTGCTGGGGAAACATCTAGTCACTCATCATTTTTCGATAGTTTCGTTGTTGTTTTGGTTTTATCTGCATGTCTCTGTGGTCAAACTTTGTATGCAGTCAACACAGATTAGCACATAGCAATAACATGTAGACCAGCTAATCTTCCTAACTGTAAGTAAGAACTTTTAAAAGGTCCAAGGAATGGAATCCCCCCCTCACAACACTGACATGTTTGCTCTACATCCTCTATCGGCTCTTTTGGCGGTACGCGGGCCTCTCACTGTCGTGGCCTCTCCCGTTGCGGAGCACAGGCTCCGGACGCGCAGGCTCAGCGGCCATGGCTCACGGGCCCAGCCGCTCCGCGGCACGTGGGATCTTCCCGGACCGGGGCACGAACCCGCGTCCACTGCATCGGCAGGCAGACTCTCAACCACTGCGCCAGCAGGGAAGCCCTATCGGCTCTTTTGAAGTTGATTAGTTGATACGATTTTTCTTGTTCAGCACGTATTTTGCAATTTCTTCTCCCTTTGCCGCCTGCCATTTAAGTTGAAAATTGCTTTTCAAAATGCTTTCTGTCCTCTTAAGTAAAATTAGGATCGATTCTATTATTAGTTTCAGTTTCTTACAAGAACCTATTTCTAGAAAATCTATAGTTTTCTTTTTTTGATGCAATTTTTATCAGGTTTGATATCAATGTTTTATTCCCCTCAAAAACTCACGCATTTTTTCTACAACACTAGTTTTATGAAGCAAATATAACGGATAATCAAACCCAACCAAGGGGCACTAAAAAAGATCACTGTTTTGGGGGCCTGAAACTTTTTTGTAGAATAGTTTATACTTTCTCAATCTTTAATTAAGAAATTGGTTTTAATTTTCTTTCTCTATTGGAATCAATTTTATTCAGTAAATCTGGCATCCAAACTTCAGGAAGCACAGGGCCTGGGAAATGGTTCTGGATCCAAGGATCTTAGCCCAGGAGTTAAACCATGAGTAGACAAAAGTAATTTGTTAGTATAAAGTTTTACCACTTTTGAAATGCTACAGAACTCTCTTCCAAAGTAAAGTGCCTTTTTTTTGGTTTTCCCACAGTTCCTCGAAGTATTCAATGAATGTCAAAATAGGAAATTAATCACTGCTCTATTAGAGGAAACTTTGTTGAATCTATATTAGAAAAGACATTAAATACTCTGGCTATGTACAAAACAAGTTTAAGTTCTGTGATCCCGCCCTCACCCTGAGTGTTTTGTAATCACCTTTTTTCAGACTTCTTCCTGTCTACTGTAAGTCAATAAATCATAGTTCTAGAAACTCTGCAAAATTTATCTTGGCTTTCTTTCCAGTGATGTCCTTATGTTGGATTGCATATTTATACACTGCTTTAAAAATCTGGGTAAATGTTACAAACTTAATCCTGGTTTTAAAAAAATTGTAATGAATGCCTAGGGGGATTTTGCAGTATTACTAAGCCATGTCAACATCTATCACAGTACGTATATTTTGCGAGAAGGTGACAAATTAAAAAATCATCAATGACATCACATTGTATATTGAATAATTATGGTTAAAATGTTTTGGTAGATTTTATTCACATAAAATTTTAAAAATCATAACAAAGTCATAACTATGAATTCAAACAATATGGTCAAAATATATTTAACTTAAGGCACTACACACAAACGTCTTTAAAGCACACTCATGTCATTTATTTACAGAGTATTTTAGGAATTTACAATAAATACACATTTCCCATCTCATCTTCGTCCTTCATTTGTAGCTTTATATACTCACAATGAAGTAAAAACCTCCAAATAAAAGGTATTAAATGCAATTATCCTTAAAGCTTACCAGATACGGGCAAGAGAAGGAAATACCCAAGAACAAGGCAAAGTTTTTTTTAATCCTTTAATGTTCCAAGTATCTTTCAATTCTTATACCGAGCTTAATGGAACAGTAACACAAAACCAGTGGTACAGAGCATTGAAATAATTCTTATTCTATTGCTGTTTACCAGAAAAACTTGCACATTAAGAATAGCAGCAGAACTGTCCCTACATTTACATAAGTAAATGTACTTATTCTGAATTCACTCACTGAATTAACAAACTTCCTAAAAAGTTTTCCTATTACCTTTGAGTATCGTTGTCATAAACAGTTAAATCTTTCCTGGAGCCAAATACTTTCTACCACCCAGAAAACACAGAAGCATATTAGTCAATTATTTAACAACATACACACCAAGTGAAAAAGGCTGGTGTTACTGAAATATTTTCTCAGTGTACTAGAGGAGTCATTGGCTTTAAGTGATCATTTTAAAATATACAACTGAATTAACATAAAGTTCAATATAATAATATATAAACATCGCTTTGATTAAATACTCTTCTTGTCCCATCAACATATACATAAAACATTTACAATTTTAATTCAAGTTAGTATTTTGAGAATGGAATAAAGAACAAGACAAATAATAGGTCTTTTGTTCAAAGGGCTGAGACACTGATGGGGCATCCCTTCCTATTCCATCCTCCATAAAATCCACTCACAGGTTGGATGCTATGGACCGATTTCTGAAACTCATAACTGCCAGTCAAGCCAGTACAACCACTAAAGCTCACACCACTGCAAAGACCAAGCTCTCCTCAATTAGTATTTTAGACATTTCAAAAACATGCTCACTGCTTTAAATGTGACTGTTCTCCTGCCTTTTTTTTTTTAATGGAAATGGACGTAGAAAGAAATTTTCCTATTATTTTGCTCAGATCAACTGTTAACCTTTAGGATAACTTTTATGTGAGGCAAAAACATGAGAAATAAAATGTCAAAAAGCAAAATGAGTCCTGGTGGTTTTATTTATTTATTATGCTGTTCTTAATACAGTCACCTATGACTGCATGCATGGACTATTCATGCAGGGTGTAGAAATGCTTCTCAAGAACCCCAAGTACAATAGGCACCAAATACCAGGATCAGGAGATCAGCAGTGACCACAGGATGAATTATATGTTTGATGACTGGCACCACTGTTCTTGACCACCTCAGAAAATCAACATTTAAGTGGGCTGCATATTTACTGTAGATTATCTTTGTATCTGTAAAACAGTTCCCTAGTTTATTTTATATTGTCAAAACTTTAAAGATCGCACTAGTAATATTAATTGCTTGCCTCAGCTGCTGATGGATGGTTCTTGAACTCAATTTTTCCTCTAACAGATGGAATCTCGTCTGCCACAATTGAGTTTCTTCCTACTAATTATGATTGTTAGAAGGTACCACTTAGCAAAGCTAGGATAACAGTTATTCACAACAAATCCTTCGCTCTGAACAAGTATGTTTTAAAAAATATGAGCGGAGTGGTTATTTCTATGAACCAAATATGGGAGAAAAACGCAGAGGCAGCGTTCAGGCTACTGAAGGTTAACAGAGTCCTGAGAGTTTCTTCAGCCACTTAACATATGATTCATGTAAAAGATCAAAAGATACTAAATTCCATTTTAAATTTAGCTACCCTATGGCCTTAAAAAGTAAGGCACAAAATTCCCAAAGGTAAATAGAAAAATCTCTTTTCCTCATTCTGACCCAATCAAAACCAGACTTGTAGTCAGGTCATACATTTCTTGGCAGCACCTGGAGACCTCTGGTTACAAAAAACAACATGAGAAAGTTAAAAATGGTAACAAAAGTTAATTTTTAAAAATTATGATTTTACCTTGTGAGTCAGAAGAAAGTACACGAAGGTGAAGTGCAATTATAACCTTTCCTGAGAGCCGGGTTCTATGGGGATGTGGGAGGCTGCTCCCAGGCCACTCACCTCCCACCACCTGCTGTAAGTCACACAAAGTCTGTACACGCATACATGCAACACACTGGCACGTACATACACCCAACTAAATAACTTACACAAAGGCATTGAGTACAAAGTGAGAAAAGCACTTTCCCCTATTTTCTTAATTTCTTCTTAGCAATACTCTTGCAAAGGTTTAACTTTTGAGGCTTCAATAGCTTAAGGGTCTTAACAAAGACACACTGGGGTCTTTGCTTGTTTTTTATAATAGTTTTTCTTAAAATAATTTCTTCATATGCTAGATCTTTTCTGCCTGCTTGATCCATTTTAATTAACCATCACAGAGAACTTCCTACCTCAAGGGTTTACTTGGGATTCAAACTCTATTAAAGGCACATATAAAAATATAGGAAAGTTTTCCTTCCTGATACACAAAATCCACATATTTTATAAAGATTTCTGTTGTATAATTTACAAATGTAAAAATTTATTCAAAAAGCATACCCACTAAATTTTTGCATATTTTCATATATAGATGTGTCTAATCTTCGTTGCAAAAAAAAAAAAGGCAAAGGCAGTATTTTTCTTAAAAAAAAACCTTTTTAGTTAGGGAAACAGTTGGTGTTAACTAATGATTTACTAGCAATTTTTTCTATGGTCAGAGTTTTTTGTATTAGCTAATGCTGCAAAACAAAACACAAGGGAAAACAAAATAATTGTAGCATGCTTGGTCTAAGATCTTTGTCTTTCAAAGTATACTTTTTCATAGTTGTAACACCATTCCTTGGGTGTGTCCTAATCACAGCCACTTTGTATAAACCCCAGCACATGTCACCCAATTAAAGGATCATCGTCATCATCTTGTAGCTGAAGTCGGGAAAATGGCCGGGCTCCAGAGAGTCTATTCTGCATGATTATGATGAGGCAGGTCAGAGTGGTTAAGACCAAGAGCACACCGATAACAATTCCTATGGCTTCTGGGAGATTAATGCACCACTGGTCCACTAACAAACACTTAGTATGACCGAAGGTTCCATTATTGGGATGTGGCTTTAATCCCAGGATGTGGCACATCATTGGATAAATATCCACAATGTTAATGGTGCTGTGCTGGTAGCCTTTGTGAAATGCAGGACCATGGGCAGCTAGAAATGGATTCATACTAGGCAAAGAATTATCATAACCATGGTCACCTACTAGAAAAGAACAAGATGATGTTAGTAAATAACAGCAGCTTTTCTACTACCAAATAACTTGCTTCTAGTGTAAATACTCTGGATTCTTGCCAGTGTAATTCCCATTAAAATTCTGATTAGTTGGGCCAAACAGGTGCCAGAAGTAAAATTTTCTGTTTTCTTCAAGTCAGCCATGTTATCTATTTCTTTTTTTTTTTCTTTTTTTTTTTTTTTT